CTTCTTCTTCTTCTTCTTTTTCTTCCCTTTATTGTAAATCATATGTAAGTGCGTAGTGCAAATTTTTTTGTCTAATGTGACACACTTGCTTATTTTTCTTCTTGTTCTTTTTTTTTCTTCTTCTTCTTCTTCTTCTTCATCTTTTTCAATTTCCTCCAGTGGGTATCATAGAGCCCTCCAAGCTGCCAGTAACTATTTTAACATTCCGTTTTGTTCGAGTTTAACATAATTTCTTACGATAGAACATACGCTATCATCATAATTTACCATACTATTTCATTTATTCCTTTACTTACTTTTTTTGTTCACTTCCATTAAAAAAGATTAACAAAAACCTCAATTTTATTTGTGTTTTGTTTATACTTTTGTGTTGTACCTCGGTGAAAGGGGGGGGGGGTAGACGAATAAGCATTTGAAAATGAGGATTTGATTCATAAATGATGCAATATACGACTGGGATTACGGAGTGTCGAGATTGAAAGAGATTGAGAGAGAAAGAGAGCGATATATATATATATATATAGAGAGAGAGAGAGAGAGAGAGAAAGAGGGGAAGAGCGTGTGCGACAAAGACAAAGGGGGAAATGAAGGGGTATATAATGCTAACTTTATTGGAGGAGCTCGCGCCTTTGAATGTTTTTTGAAACAGATATATGGCGCCAAACAAACGTTGTGAATCATCATCATCATATAAAATGATAGTGGAGATCGAGAGAAAAAAAGAGAGCGTGTGTGTGTGTGTGTGTGTGCGCGTGGGTGTGTGTGTGTGTGTGTTTGCGACAGACGGGGGAGTAAGTAAGAGAGAGAGAGAGACACACACACACACACACACACACAGACAGACAGGACGAGCGGAGAGAGAGAGGTGTATGTGGTATAACACAATGAGAGGGAGATCGGAAGAAAGAACAAGAGAGAGAGAGAGAGAGAGAGAGATAGTGTGTGCGCGCGAGATAGTGGATAAAGGAGAAAAGGTAAGTGTGAGAGCGAAAAAGAAACAAATGGTTAGAAAGAGAGAAAGAGATCGAGATCGAGATGTGAAGGGTATAGAAAAAGAGATCGAGATCGAGAGAAAAAAGAAAAGAGAGAGAGAGTACGTGAGTATAAGAGATAGAGAGAAAGAGAGAGAGAGAGTGGAGACATAGAGACACATACAGAAATGACGAGTGGAGAGAGAGAGGTGAATGTGGTATAAAACAGAGAGGGAGATCGGAAGAAAGAACAAAAGAGAGAGAGAGAGAGAGAGAGACAGTGTGCGCGCGCGAGATAGTGGCTAAAGGAGAAAAAGTAAGTGTGAGAGAGAAAAAGAAACATATGGTTAGAGAGAGAGAAAGAGATCGAGATCGAGATGTGAAGGGTATAGAAAAAAAGATCGAGATCGAGAGAAAAAAATAGAGAGAGAGAGAGAGTACGTAAGTATAAGAGATAAAGAGAAAGAGCGAAAGTGAGAGAGAGAGAGAGAGAGAGGGTGGAGACAAATTGATTATATTAGAATTAAAACATTTTAAAGATGTTTTACGACATAACCAGACATACACACCTATCCAAATATGTGCACATGACAATAAGAATATTACATAATCCGAAACTGATTTATGGAAATTGTCCTATGAGGTGATTTTCTAAACCTGGTTGCGATCTTGAAATACATAGCCTGATTGAACAGAGCATGCCTGAAGAACAACTTTCAAAATATGGTTTTCAAAGTAATCATTTGGATAGTTATAAGAAAATACAGGGGAAAGAGAAACACATGATCATCTAAATCCAGACAACCAAAAGTACTTTAGATATGGGTAACAAATGTTAAATACAAACATGTAATCACAACTAAATGACCAATACATTTTAAATGTAAAACCAGTCTATTATTCTCGAACATAATACCAACCCAATAACCAACTCTTTTCCTTTGACATTTAATTTCCAATCACTATCACAGAGTGTAATGTTATCTTACATAGTATTCATATAACTTAGTCGTTTACATAATTATACAATGCTAGGTAAATTTATTACGAGGTTTATTTTATATACATTCTAGTTTAGATACATAAATTATTTCTTCAGGGGATTAGTACACTTAAACAAAAACAATGAATTTGAGTATACTTAGTATTACTTTTGTACCCAATACTGTTATACCATATCAGGGAATTATTAGAAAAAGCTATAATACCTACTTCAGAAACCTATATTCATCATGATCATGTATGTAGAGTGTATACTAAAAACAGGGCCTTCAGCCTAAATCGGAAACGAGGTAGAACACAATTTAGACAAACATTAAGTATGTGTTTACTGTGGGGAAAAATACAATTCACATGTATTTAATGAAGTACTTATGATTGTCAGTTATATGTTGTACTTGTGAATTACTGTGAAGCAAGATTTTAAATAATACTAATAACAATAATATTTTAAAATCCACTCCAAATTTTGTTAAGTTAAACCGAAAATGGAAATTCTTTTTGCCCAATTGATCGTGAGCCCGGCAGGCACTGAGCAGCGCCAGATCAACGTTGCAAATATATTATGAACAATATATATTATATATTATATATTATGTATATATATGAACAATTATCCTCTTTGGACATACTAAATAGAATGAACTTGGCCGAGTAAGTAACGAATAAAATTATTTAAAATTAAAGACACAAGTCAAGGAAACTACCATAAATGGTGACTTCACATGTGATTTATTTTATTGTGTAATGATTTAGTTATCTTGTATAATCGTTTTCTTCATACATTGTAAACGATTAGTTAAGTTGTGAACTCCTTTGCCAGAAAGTGATTTGTCAATTTGTTGTTGTTACCCCCTCCCAACTTTGAACGACACTCCTTCGCTCCTTAACATGTCAAGTCCATTGTGCTGCCTGCACTTTATAGAAAGACCATACTTGAGACGTTAGGAAATTATATCGCCCCTTGAGTGGGCGCCACTGGTATATCACTGGAAGATTGAATTCAGCCCCTGTTTCACTGCAGGCTGCGACTGTTGGATTGCGATCGGCATTTGCGAGGGAGTTTTCAAAACGACTCGAAACGGTCTTGGGGATCTCAATCGCCTCGCATTAGCCCCATGAACTCGGCCATTGTTGTCGGTCTGGGCCCCGCCTTACAAAGACTTACGATTGATCCAGATCAATCGCAAGTTTGCAGTCTCCTATCTCGTATGTAAATAGTTGCGATTGAAATGAATCGCAAATAAGTTGCGATTGATATTAACTGCTTGTGATACAGGGCCCTGATGTTGGTCTCGTTTGTGTAACAGGGTATAAGTAGTTTTGATGCATTTTCATTGAGACTATTTTCTCAAACTCCACACGTGGATCTACACGCGAATCATGTAACGAATCTGTATCAATTTTCTTTAGCTATTTCAAATTAGTTGTAGTACTAATAGAAGTTATTAGTAATATCATTATTTTTCGATCAGGACCATTATTATTAGCAGTATTATTATTATTATTAGTAGTGTTATTATTGTAACATTATCATCATTATTACTGTTGTCAGTAATACTGTTTGTTACTGTTGTTGTAGTAGTAGTAGTATTAGTAGTAGTAGTACTGTAGTAATACAATTAAATTCTATATTCTTAAAAGGATGTTGGGCTAAATAACGTTACGGTAATCTTAATTTGTTGTAACGTTTAAACAAATTTAAGGACTGTTCAATGTGCTTTAATATTTCCTGAAAGAAAGAAAGATGTGAGAAATGACAAGAAGAGAATTATCTACATCACAAACACGGCTGATTCATTAGACATTTTCAGTTCCATTTTTCAGTTCCATTTTCCTCATTTTGTTGAAGTAAGTTATTACTCACATATTTTGTCATTCTAGCACAGGAGTACACAGCCTAACTTATCGTATAATATCAAAATATATGAACAAAAGAAGAGAAATAAAAGTCAACTAAATCACAGGTGAAGTCACTTTTTCTAGTAGTTTCCTTGACCTAAATTAAAGTAGGTCTCAATTTCTTTCTTTTGTCTTTCTTATTTGTTATTATCGTGCCATGCCAAGTGCCTAAAGAGTGCCCTTTTTTAATATCCAATTTCACCTTATTATCCCGTGACCTGATACTTAAACATGATATATATATATATATACTTTATCTGACAGACATCCTTGAACATGATAATATATATATATACTTTACCTGACAGACATCCTTGAACAATTCAATATTTCTCCGGGTATTAAAGGTAAAGACCAGTATTGGAAACGCCCCAATTTAAAAAAAAATATGAAATGGAAGCTCCTATTACCAATCATGTGAAAGAATATGTTCTAACTAATACATGATGATACAAATGTTGCCGGGAAACCGCCTACTAATTGATGTATTTGGTAAATTAGTTAATCTATTGTTATGTGAAAGATAAACGCACGTGTCGCGCACGTATGCGTAGTCCCATATACATATTTCTGTGTACAGTGCTTGTAACTTTACGAAGACTGGGCCAAATTTCTCATCATTTTGATGATGAAAAGGAACTTGGAGTACACAACAATACTTACATGCTAGATGATCAACCTTTTCTGATCGATTCCACAATGTTTCTTTCATAATGCAATCGCATGACCATAACTGGTTTTTATCTTTAACAATTGACTGGATTTCCGTGATTTTATCACAAATACCCCCGTTGAAGAATTAATGGAAGAAATAAACCATGACAAAAGTTACTAGATCTTTTCAAAATGTTTCATTGAATTACAATTTTTGCTTTTATTATCCTTTTGTTTTCTAATTAATCTATTATTGTTATCATTATATTCTAAGCCTAGAGATAGAGCCTCTTGCTTCTTTTATCCTATTGTCACCCAACAATCGCGTGACATGACACTTGAACTTATCAATGACCTGAGACCCGCGGCATCCTTGAAAAAAACTTTCTCCTGGTATCAAAAAGTGGCGTGATTTTATCACGAATACCCGATTCATTTTCAATAAATACTGGGGTAAATCTTGTGCAGAATCAATCCACGATCGATCTTGCTGAAGCTGAAGTGAAGTCCGAAACGTTCAAGCCCTCTCTGCAAGAAGCTACACCTGCATGTGAGTATGCTGATTCTCTCTAACCTTACATCTTCATATTAGCCCGATTATTCCCTGGTTTGCCACTAGCGGTAATCGGTACAACATGTAGGCTCAAATCGAACAGTAGATTTGACAGAAGAGGTTTTAAGTAATTTTATTAATTATTACCTAAGGCTTGTTTAAGGAAAGTGTGCGGGAAGGGGAGGGGCGGGGTTTAAAGGCATCGTTTAACAATGTTAAATCTGACATGCATGGCCCTACGTGTTTTCAGTGTCTGTGATATGGTGAAATATTGAAGCCCTAAACAAATTGCGCTTCAAAACGATCATGAAGTGCCTCAAAAATGAAACAAATCTTTGAACACCGGTTTTACCATACTTATTTTGCCAAAAGACTGTAGTGTTATAAAAACCGTTAGGAAAACGAAAATAAAATTTCGATTTCCAATCATAAATATCTTGATAATTAGACAGGCGATCGGCTTGTAAAATTCAGGGGATTCTTGACTGACCTCAAGGTTTATAATTAGTATTGCAGCATGAGCTAAATCAAGGATTTTGTTTCATAAACTGAGGCAATGTTACCGAGTGACTTTAAGGTTATCGCGTTCATGCTCAACGTGCAAATTTAAAAAAGCACACACTTACAAATGTTGAGGTTAAAGATGAACTTGAGTTCTGGTAATGCGATTGCATTGTGAAAGAAAAGGTGTGGAATGGATCAGAAAATTTGATCATATAGCATGTAAGTAATGGTGTGTAATGCAAGGTTCTGGAGTCATCAAAATCATCATAAATTTGGCAGAGTCTTGGTAAAGTTACAATCACTTACACAGAAAGATGTATATGGGACAACACACATGGTGTCTGGGCTAGTACTACCCTGATTTCCTTATCTTTCTATGCTCATTACTCATACTCATTCATTCAGACCCCGCCCCTCTATTGCACATGCATCATGTTATTCCTTATTCTCTCTATTTGCTTTGTTTTGCGAGGTTACAAGTGTACAAAAAATGAAACAAGAATCTTGAAAAGCAACTTCAAAATATGAGCATTAACAAATTGAAAAACAGGGATTTTCAGTAATGTATCGTACATGCGTATTTCATTATTATTATGTTTTCATCTTTTTGATGAAGCAATTAAGTGGTTGATGCAAGAGAGGGGTGCGAGGGGGTGCGAGAGGATGGACATCTTGTTTTAGGGAGTCAATTTTATTAAGGATCACTTCCCTAGAATTAAAATCTGCTCCGAGTGGAATCAACTTCAAAGTGACAGTGGAATTACTCTTTAGAGAGTGGAGTCAGGGCTAGTATTAAACTCCATGGTAGAATGCACTATTTTCACGAATATTTGCGACTCTTAACCTATTAGCGAGGTTTTGTGACAATAATTAGCCTCAAAGTTTAATGCTTCATTCTCAGATAGGGTAACATCAAGAAATTTCTGTTTAAACAAAAATGTTTAAGCAGTTAGCATCCGAATTTGGTTCAAAGTTTGGCACATTCTTTTAAACTGGATGGGTCGTCAGTTTCCATTTGCAGTAGTTCATAATTTGCTGATACCAGATTTGGTGGAAATATAGCTAATGGTTTTACGAATCTGCACACAGCAAACCCGTAGGCCATTCAATAAGTCTCCCCCCCCCCCCCTCGTGCCTCGGAGAGTCTCCGGGTAATGCAAATGTCAGATGAAGCCTTTACCGTATGGGGAAAAGACAGAGCGTTACATAAAGCCTGTTGGTCGTAAAACATGTAGGCAAATCTCGTTGATTGACAACGCCTGTGTACCGGGCAAACACCCGAACGGTATCAAATTCCCAATGAAAACACACTTCTATGTGTCTTTCAAGGCCTGTTGGCAACCGATTTGTTAGTAGTTTTGAGAAGTTTTACTAAAATATTCTGACAATAATGTATTTCAATAGTTTTGGCTAAATTTGAAACATATCGCAATACTTTTCCACCATCTTTTTACCAGTTAGCGCCAAGATGAAGCTCCTCCTTACATTGATGACTCTGGCCGCCGTGGCCCTCTTCGGTCTCCCGGAAGCTACAGGGCAATGCGCATGCTCATCTGGCTGGAGCAGCTTCGCCGGTAACTGCTATCGATACTTCACGCAAAAGGTCAACTGGCAAGCCGCTCAAAACGCATGCCAAGGCTTGGGGGCGAACCTCGTCTCGATGCACGACGAAGCCGAGAACACATTCGCATACGCACTCATTTTGACCGACGGTTGTGACGCGCCAACGGTTAGTATTTACATTTAAACCATTAGAGTACAGAAAATCTATAAAAACTGTCAACAACTATTGAATGGCACCTTTTTTATTTTAAGAGGGGGGGGGGGATTACAGTTTATGGGAGAAGAAAGGGTGATTTTAAAGTCATAAATGATCATTTAATTTGTTCATTTGTTTATTTGGTTGGTTGATTTGTTTCTCGTTTCCGTTTGTTTCATTTTCTTGATTTGTTTCTGTTTGTTTGCTCGATTGTTTTACTGAGAAAGAAAGAATTTATTTAAAGCGCCACTGTCCTACTCGTACGTACTTGCTCCCTCTATATATAATCAAAAATGCCTAATCGGTGACCATTGGTCCCCCATGATCCTCTTTTTCTGATGTTAATTGAGAGCTGAGTTGATGAGATAGCCACCTGTCATTGACCACGCTGCGTGGTCTAATCACTCCCGGCCAAACTAGTATAGACTGTAAGTATTCCCCCCCCCCCCCCCCAAAAAAAAATAATAATAATAATGTAGAATAATTAAAACCAGCTCATTTTTGTTTCGATGCATGTTGCAGGGCGAGGATGGCTTTGCTTGGATCGGATACCATCAACCGAACGGACCCTTCGTTTGGTCTGACGGTTCTTCCAACGACTACACGAACTGGGCCGAAAATCAGCCGGATAACTACAATCACGGATACGCCACAGAGGACTGCGGTCACTTGCGTAACGTTCCATCCGGATCGTGGAACGATTTTCCCTGCAACAAACAAATCGGATATATCTGCAAGAAGTGATCCGTGGCTTAGCCGGTTCGTCGTCTATCCGAACCTCCACCTCACTAACCAGATCGACTACAGACGTCTTCTTCTTCTTCTCCTTGTTATCGTTTTTCTTCTTTTCTGCTTCTTCTTCTTCTCCTTGTTATCGTTTTTCTTCTTTTCTGCTTCTTCTTCATCTTCTTTACTTTCTCTTTTTCCTTCGTTGGGTTTCAAAAATCAACCCACCAAACTGCCTGTAAACATTTCAACATTCCGTTTTGTTTGACTGTAACAGATTCTTTTTACGATTTACGATAAAACATACGCTATTATTTTTTTTTTTTATAACTTTCGTTATTATCATAATTACCGTACTATTTCATTTATTCCTTTTGTTACTTGTATTTCTCTTCCATTAAAATTGATTAACAGAAACCGCAAATTCATCTATTTTGTTAATATTTTTTTGTTGTACCTCGGCGTAAGGGGCATAAACGAATAAGCACTTGAAAATGAGTATTTGAAAAATGGACAGTCAATAATGAGAGAGACTGAGAGAGAGAGAGAGAGAGAGAGAGAGAGAGAAGAGAGGGTGTGTGAGTGTTTGTGTGTGTGAGAGAGAAAAAAATAAGTGAGAGAAAGAGTGTGTGTGTGTGTGTGTTTGTGTGCGAAAGATACAGAGAGACAGAGAGAAAGATAGGGTAAAGAAAAAGAGAGGGAGATCGATAAAAAAGAAAGAGAGTGCGCATGTCTCTGTATGTGTGAAAGTGTGTGTGCGAGAGAGAGAGAGAGAGAGAGAGAGAGAGAGAGAGAGAGAGGGGGGAGGGAGAGAGACACACAAAGAGAGGGAGATGTATGGCGTATAGAAAGATTTATATAAGTAGTGTGCGCGCGCGAGATAGTGGGTAAGGGAGAGAGAGAGAGAGAGAGAGATGTAAAGGGTATAGAAAGGAGATCGAGATCGAGAGTTAAAAGAAGAGAATAGAGAGTAAGTAAGAGAGACACATGTGGTCAGAGAGAGAGCAAGAGAGAGAGAGAGAGAGAGAGATGTAAAGGGTCTAGAAAAAAGACGGCGATCGAGATTTAAAAAAAGAAGTGAGAGAGAGAGAGAGAGGGGGGGGGGAGGCACACGGGATGGGATATAGAGAAATAGATTCCATTTGCAATCGTCATTCGATGGAATGTAAACGTTTTGATAATAATAATATTGATGATACTAATGGTGGTAATGATACTTCCTCGAATGCACGGCGGTAACGCCCCCCCCCGGGGGGGGGGGGATCTATCGGGATCGAGTTGAAAAATGTAAACAAACGAAAAAGGAGAGAAAAGAAAGGTAGAGTTGTAATGAACCAACAGAAAGTCATAACATACGATTATTTTGTTTGTTTTACTAAGAATAAAAAGGTCGCGAATCATTTCTCACTATTTAACAAACCTTAACTTTGTCTCAGGGGTTTAAGGCATTTAATTACGGTCAGATGAGCATATTTCGATACCTTATTTGTGACGGTTGCATATCCGGTCTGAAAGAATATTTCATTCAAAAGAGACACTTGCTAAAGATTAGAAAATGTAACGTCGACCCATGTTATAGGTAGAAATACATTTCTGTTTAAAAGGATACAAGTGAGTACCGTATCATCACCTTTTCTTAAATATTTCTAAAATGTCTTTCCTTCTTTTCCTCTTTAACATGTGTGTTTGTATATTGGGGGGGGGGGGGGGTAGCCCCCGAGCCCTGATATTTCGCGAAGTGAGTTTAGTTTCTTGGTATCTACATTGACAGTGATTTATCATGGAAGATACACGTTAACTATTTGTGCAAACTGATTTCTAGAAACACAGGTATTTTAAATAAACTAAAACACGAGTTCCCAACCCATATTTTGTTATCTCTGTATAACACCTTAATTTTACCTTACCTTTAATAACTACGGTATTCTTGCCTGGGGAAACGGGACCAAAGCCCAACTTGAAAAACTTCTCATTATTCAAAAACGGGCAATAAGAAACATAAATCATGCGGGATTCCTTTCCCATACTAGCCAACTGTTTTTTAATAACAAAGTTCTCCGAATTGGTGATGTGTATGTGTTCAGCGTAGGAGTGTTTATGTATCAATTAACTATAAATGAGTTACCTGCTGTAATTTGTGCACTCTTCGTACGAAATAATACAATCCATTCTTATTCCACTCGCCAACGTAACCTATTCCACCTTCCCCTTACACGAACTTTGTTTGCTCAAAAAAATATCACTTTCACGGGCCCTAAACTTTGGAATAATAATAATAATAATAATAATAATAATAATGTAACTTATATCGCGCCAAATCCACTCTGTGGAGTGCTCAAGGCGCGTATAAACAGGAAAAAAGATCAAGACTTGAAAAGAAATGTTTTGAGATGAGTTTTGAAAGAATCAGAGGATAAACATTTTTTGATGTCTTCAGGAAGGCCATTCCATAATTTAGGACTAGAGTATGACCTCCCCATTGAATTCACAGAATCAACCTCACTATATTCGTTCAAGCGCAAGCTGAAATGTCATCTCCTAAGCAATTACGCTTTAATGGTAGAAGAAGCATGATGTTACTTTTAATAATTTTTGTCGATGTTCAAACTGATGTTCAAAGTTTGCTGTTGTTACCCTGTGAATTGCCATTGCGTACGGGTAGTGAAAATGTTATACAAATATTGCTAAGTGTATGAATATTGTTTATTTTTCTTCATAATAGGTTTCAACTTAATTAAATTACGTCTTTTTGTTAATATACACAAGACTATGTCATTGTTGTAACTTCCGGAGCCTATGACCTACAAGCATTGCTTTCTCTTTAGGCTCCATCATATTTCTTCCCTTATTCAACTTAGTCTTATGTATCATTTTTGTTTTGTTGTATAAACGTATTCTAAAATGAGTTCAAAATGTAACATGCTATATGTAATGATGTACTATACAACATGTGAGAAATATGAAAATAAACTGAAACTGAAACTGAAACTGAGTTGATTTGATTTGATTTATACACGGTAAAAACCCGAAACAGTTCGCAGACTGGTTTCAATCAGGGCCGTGTTGATAAAAAGCAACCTAATCATGACATAAACGAAAGTAATATAACACTGACACATTTACAACCATACCTTAACAACACATAGAAAATAAACTAAAGACTTAAAGAAACTAAGATGAAATGAACTTAGAAAGAATAACATAACAAAGTGAACAGAAGAGAAGATGGTATAAAATCGAATTCCTGAAAGGCAAGGACACACCGTTTATAATGTTACAATGAATTGGAGCCATTCTTGCTGCTGGCCTCATCTAAGGAAAAAAGAAAATGTTTAAATTCTTACTAACTGCCTTCTTTTTACAACAAGTATAATCAGCAGCAACCCCCCCCCCCCCCCCAAAAAAAAAAACACTCTTAACGACAAGCTACTAACAAAGACAAAAGCGTGCTGAAGTCAGGGAAAAGCGCATTACCCCCTCGGAGTACTTTCAGTTGATCGTGTTTATACGTTCTTTTTGAGCTCTTCATAAAATATTGATTATTGATCTTAAACTGTAAAAAAAAAAGCGATGTATATCTTTTTAGGGCTCGCGTTTCTTTCATTCAAACATGCATTTACGCTTGGACTTGACACGCGTTTCACCAGCGACTGCTCTGCATGATATGGATATACTGTATATGAGGATTTAACCAACTTTAAGCCAGAGTGGGATACGTCGAGAAATTTACTGTGAAGTAAAGGTAACAAGATTTCCTTACTCTTTTATTTTCCCCTTCTGGTTTTCAAACAATTGAATTTATGATGTTATCCGACGATGCAACATTTAGTTTATCGTACAGACAGGCCGACAAACTATTTGGAAGGAATACGGCATGCCAAAACGATATTAGTGCTAAGTGTTGGAGTTGTCAGATAAATTTCGAAGCCAATAAACCTAGATAGATAGATAAAAGATTGAGAGAAAAACAGAGAGGGGAATTAGAGAGAGAGAGGGGGACAGAAAGAGAGGGAGATAGAGAGAGCGAGAGAAAGAGAGAGGAGGAGGGGTAGGGAGTGAGGGAGAGAGGGAAAGGGGAGGAAGAGAGAGAGAGAGAGAGAGGGGGGGAGAGAAGGAGGGAGAATCTAAGATATGGAGAGAACAACAGAAAGAAAGAATAAGATAATGTATAACGTATTAACGACCAATGCCTCCCCTCCCCCGACATCCCGCCCGATGTACAGAATGAATTATGTCGCATCTTCACCACAAGCACCAGAAGCATCTTCACAACTCCTAATCTCGTTCAAAGTTTAGGCACCAAAAAGTAAGACTTTATGCAAATATACAATGGGAAACAGCAGAGTATACTTTCTTCCAAATATTTTATTCCGATACATAATTATTAATGATTTCATGGGCATTCAAATCTTTGTAATGAGTTCATTTTCCTTTCATACTGGTACCTTCTCCCAGCTCGGAGGTTGATGGCAATTTTGTCCGCACCGATTTGAAGTGCCCATACGTATATTGATTTGTACTTTAAAAAAAAATCAAAAATTTCTTATATTTTTTCTCGGATTTCGTTCAAACTTTCTCTAATCTACTTTTCAAATGTCCATCCTTTCTTTCAGAGCAAATTTCAGTTAAGTTTGGATTTTCCTTTAACACGTTTTGCCATTGCAAAACGGCGAATCATTACGGCACAATTGCTACCATTATGCATGCATAGGCCTTTAGCAAAATTCACACCTAAAGTATTTCACGCTATTTATTATGATCAAATGAAGGAAAATATAAATTCCTTTGTTTTGCATTATTTGATTTAGACTAAAAACTTGATATTATTATTAGCTTATTACTGTTCATGGGTACCAAACAGAAAAACATTCCGAACAAATGTGTAACTTTCGAAAAAGGAAACTTTATAAAATGTGTAGTCAATGAATAAAATCATTATCTACAGAAGCAGAGTAGTGAACATTATTTTCTGGCAAATTTTCTTGTTGTCTTGGTTTTCATTCTTTTTAGTTCCAAATGCGCATTATTATTTATTTATTTGCTTGTTTTTATGTTTTAGTGCATGCATGTTTTGAATTATTTATTAATTAAAACAATAGAAACATAATGCAACCCAAAAATACGTAAAATCATACAAG